CATATATAATTATCTTATTTATCTATATGTTAATCATAAATTCTACTAATTAAATTTAATTACAACATCCTAGTCGCGTCGACCTTGCACCTGTGCATCGAAACGCAAGGTATCTGACAGGTGGCGCCGCCGTCGTTTCAGGCAAGCAGCAGTTCCGCGAGCCGGACCTCCTCGACCCGTTTGCAACGTCTGTTCAGTTGTCTGCGCTTGAGGCCGAGTCGAAGTACCGGATCACGATCTGGCCGCTGACCGGTGCTGGAGTGGGAGAACCGTACTATGTGGAGCGGTCAACGCTGATGGGTGGAGGTCAGTCTGGCCACTGGGAACCAGTGGGCTACGAAACACTGTTACGAACAGTGTTGGCATGCTGTGACCATCACTGCGCGTATGAATGAGCAAAAATAAGCATGTGAATTTCACCTCCGACAAAGCCGGGTATTGCGAGTATTAATCACTATCGTTGATATTTGTTTCTAGTTGTTTTTGGGAGACTGTTTTGAGATGATGAAAATTTAAACCGTATCAGTTATCAGATTGCTTTTTTTCATTGTTGACGTGTTAACGTGTTGTGTTTCAGTTCCAAGTACACCGACACTGAGCATGCTTAGCCGTAACCAGACGCATGTCAACATCACGTGGACTAACTGGGATCTCACAAACAGGCCAGCGTCCATCTACTACGTGGTGTTCAAGAAAACCGGTAATGACTATTCTTACACTGCTTCGACCAAATATAGTGGGAAATTTCATCACTTTCACTTCAATTTCATCAATTTCGTCAATATTTAGGGAACCACAGTGAAGATTTGTAACCAGTCGTGGAAAGAAGTTTGAAAACCTAGCCAGTCTTAGCTTTCGAACACTTTTATTTCTACTATATGACCTATAGTAAACCCATAGCAATTGACGAGTCCTGCTCAAAACTTAACAGTTCTAGACTGGGCAGCCGCCTGCTATTTCGATCGCTGTTAGTTACTAATTAGCAATAGTCTGTACTGTTGGTGTCAGTATAAAAGCATCGAGCGGTAAACGCAATGAAACTGGAACTACTCGAGTTATCGCAAAGGTTGATTGTGTATTCTACCCTGCTTCGTTCTACGGGTGAACGGTGCACGGGTAGTGGGGGTGGGGGTCGTTCTACGGGTGAACAGTGCACGGGTAGTGGGGGTGGGGGTCGTTCTACGGCTGAACGGTGCACGGGTGGTGGTGATGGGGGTTGTAGTTTGGCCGCGAGTGACTATTGCCGACTCAGCAGGGATGTATCCCTTGTGAATGAGACTATGTCTCGTCATCCCTAGTAGACCATACGGGTTCTCTTCCTTGGTCCATGCGACTTGTAGCTGAAATGCACGACAAGCCATGTGTTAAACTAATGCATTTGTTTTCATCATGATCATGAACAAAACCGACTGCAAATTTTGCAATAACTTATTAAGTTATTACGCGACACATATGCTCCGTTTTGGAACTATAGTTTTGACTTAGGTTAGTCTCATCAGGTTCTGCCAGCTTGCTTCACCTTGAAAGCATCGTTGCTCTTTCAATTATGTACTTTATTCACTGGGCGGAGCATGGGCGAGGCTTGGGTGCAGCGTGGGTGGGTCATGGGTGGAGCATGCGTATGGCTTGGTAGGACATGGATGGGGTGTGTGGGGGGTCAGGTTGGCGTGGATATGTTTGACAGGGGGTTTATACTCATGACCAAGTTGATGAAAAGAGCACGTATAAAAACATGCGGCAGATGTGTGTGAATGCTTTGGGGGGGGGGGGGCAAATCCGCTACATGGCTGAAAATTATTCTTGGCTTATACACGCTATTCGCGGTGTGTAAACAAGGAACTTGAGTGTACAAATCCCTCGATATGTGGAAGATATAGGAAGGGAAGTGGCGTGTACACGATACGAATTCATATTGTGTGTGCCACCTAAAGTGGTGACTGCGATAATAAATCTATCATCGTAGGGGTGTACGAATAGATTATATTTGTATATTATGTTGGTGGTAATACAACGCGCGGGTACCAAGAAGAACACAGGAATGAATGAGGTAGAGAGCATAGCACGTTGTTCTTACATTGAAGCCGGGAGATGTTGGGAGCATGCTGTCACTTCACTTCTAATCACGCGTTATATACGCCAATTATAAAGATATGTTTAGCAAACCATTTTGCGCAAATATTAACGCAGATTCCTTCTCAATCTTGCAGTAAACGCACCTGAGACGTGTCGCTCGTCACCCCTCCACCCACCTACCCACCCACTGCACATAACTATTCGCGGTCGAAAGAAAAAAGAGGGTTACTTCTTTCATTTTCGTAACGCTGCTGTAGCACGTGGTCTCAACCTAGAAGCATTGAAATCTTAGGCTAAATAAATCAGAGTGACTCACGTCTTTGCCTGCACGCACACGTTTCGGTATCACCCCGTTTGTGTGGACAACGGCATTCCCCCGTTCACTTATTATATTGTTTTGTGGGCATAGTTGCACAATTCGAAGTGAATTTCATGTGCTTGCCAATGGGATTACACAAGAATCAACATAATCAAGCCATATTGAAGGGTGCTTAGATCAAAATTATTTAAGAAACAGGTGTACTATATATCAGTAGAGTAGCGCATGACACAGCAAAAGCAATGGCGACCTTTATTGAATACTCACTATATTCAATTTTTAATAGCATATGTCTTTAGATATTTCTAATTCACATTGAACAGTAGAAATTTGTATGTAGTAGAAATGGCATTCAATTCAAATAAAAACAATATTAAATGCTGGCGCCGATGAACGCTTTGCTATGCATGTTTGCCGCTGTTAGATAGATTAACGCTACAGAGGCCACGAAAACTGCACAGATGAAAATGAAAAGCCCCGTCATGTCGCCAATTGCGAGGATAGCGTAAGTAATGCGACCTTGGTCATCGTGATCCGCGAGATTAGTGCGCAGTCAAGTGAGAGTGTTGGGTGGCGTGGAGATTACAACCAGCGATGGTTGTGTCTACACTCACGTAGACGACCCTGCAGTAGGAATGCTGAAAACCGTGGTAGCCTAACGTTGAGACAGGTGTTTACTGTAGAAGTTAAGAGTATATACGGTACCGAGGCAGTTGAGATTCCCTCATGAATCTTTCACGCTATTTCCGAACGCTGGCAGCAGAACACCACAAGTCGTAATGGAACGCTATATCTCTTTTAAAAGCAGCACCCCGTCTATGATAATATTGGTTAGTGAAGGCCTTCACGGTGGGTCAGCGCTCTTGTAGCGGACTTAGCTGAGCGAATGAGGGCGCCAGTCACCCATAAGAAAACGTCAGAGAGCAGTGAAAGTGATAGGTCATACGTGTGCTGAAGAAAGATAGCGTGCGCAGATAGGCCGTGTTTGGATCGCTGATTCTCTAGTTCATTAGTCAATGTTCAGCCTTCGCGTAGCTGGCACGCATGCAGTGCGTCTGCGGATGGGTGCGACAAATGTTTGGGAGTTGGATGTTTAGTGGTTGCGCATCAGGGATTCGTTGTAGTGGCAGCAGATAACGGACGTAATGTAAGTAGTATTTACTGCAGCGACAGCGCTGTGTGTTGACGATGATGTTGTTGCCTAGTGACATTCTAACATGTTACGATAACGCGTAAAATTGCATTACAAATTGTAATTGCCTTGTAGCATCTTAATATCGTAGCATTGCAATTATAGGCGCGTTCACACACAAGAAAAACCGCGTACATTTTGGTGGTGATCCGGATCCAATTAATTATTTAATTCATTCATTCATTAATAAAAATTTTCACAGTGACAGAATTGAGCTGCCTTGGCGGAGGTCTGTGCTCTCCGAGTGCTCTAGTTATACATGTTTTTAATTGACAACTAATATGATGTCAATCGTCTGCGTTTGTTTGGACGTCTGATTTTCAGTACAATTAAAGTAAAAACCGTAACGTAGCAATTTGTGCAAACCATTTGACTTATTGCGGTTTCAAACGCGCTAGAAAAGAAAGAGACGTAGTTTCAGTTATCGTTAGTCGATGAATTTTATTCATTATAATTTCGATATATGCCAACATGGGTTTTGGCGGTGGCAGGCGGATGCTGATAAAGACTTAAGACACCTCTGCAAACAGATGACGGTGGTGGCAACGATAACGACGTTCTCTTGTTTTGCAGGCGAGGAGGCGTGGCGCAAGACACCTGAGCAGTACACGCGGCACTGGATCGAGGTTTTCCCACTGCAGCCGGGCACATCCTACACAATGCGCGTCGTTGGCGTCAACGACCAATGGGAAGCAGCCAGCTTACCACTCGCCATCAACACGCTTGGCTCGCGTGAGTGCAGCGCCCTCTATGACGACGTCTTGTCGCGTGGGGGGGGGGTCGGTGGCTAGCTCAATAAGATCATCGCAGATCATTGGTTGCAGGGTCGTCTGGAAGTAAACCCTGCCCAGGGACTAACATATGAGAGAAACATATATGAATTACAAAGGAGAGAATATATTATTATATATATATATAGGGAATATATGCTGAAATTATTATTGTTTTTGACGAGGTGGTCGCTAGTGGATAGCTGAGTATGGCGTGCAGTATGAGTGAGTATTTTTTGAGCGTGGTGTAATGCGTGAGCGTGACAGAGCAATCACGTGAAACCCCGCCAACGTTTACAGACCTGCCAACCCTTACGATTTTTTCGTATTCCTTACTAATTCCAAGATGTTTTTACGAATGTACAATCAAACTGAAAAACTTACGATTTTTTACGACTTGAAAATTAATGTGTTTTTTACATTGTGAGCCGAGAAATATCTGGCGATTGTGGGCCCAGCCATATTGGATCACGCGTTCACGTTGTTCTCGCGTGATCTAGAGTTAGTCCCATCATTCGTTGCACGCATAACATACAAACAAAATGGCCGCCTGCTGCAAGAAAAGAAAAGGCTTACTATTTTCATGAATCACAGGTTGGCAGGTCTGCGTTTACTTGCTTGAGCCATCGGCATGTGTGCGCATGACGGATTAATGACGAGAGGCAATGCGTTCGCTTCAATGGCTGCACGTGCACGGTGATGTGACGTTCGCTTGTTTAGGTAAGGACATTGGCGACGACTCGACGATAGCGAGCGTTGGATCGGCGAGCTGGTTCATCGGAATGATCATCGCCTTATTCCTGCTGCTCGCTGTCTTCATTCTCATGGTTCTGCTCAAGCGCCGCCGCGACGCACAGGATGCCGGTACGTGCCACCAGGTGGCGACATGCGTCGTCCGCATCCGGCGGAAATCGCGGGCGAGCTGTTGTCGTTGTCGTAAATTCCTCGGGATGTCTAACTAGCCGACTTCGCCGTTAACTAAAATAGAGTTTTTACGTTAAGGTTGTTCGGCCTGCGTAACAGTGTGGATGGTTGTACGGAGGGAGGCGAGATATGTACTGTATACGCCATATTTTCCACGTGCAGATATTTTCGCGAATTCAGACTTGACGGACAATTTCGCGAGTGGTTAATTTCGCGGTCGGTGAATTATGAATTATTCGGTATTATTCGGTATGAACTGTTCGCGTGTTGTTATTTTTGCGGTCGGGGACGCGTTCGCGAAATTCGCGAAAATTAAACCACCGCGAAACATACTGCGTATACAGTAAGGTGTTTGCGCGTCGGGTAGGGCAAAGTCGTCCCATCTGATGACCGCATGTATTTGTTCAGAGCTTGCTGTCACACCAGCGGTAAAGACTTTAAACAAAAATTCGGTTAACGCTTCCCATCTTTTTATGTTTAGCGTTTGTTTAGCATTTTTTCGATCTGCTTTTTTGGGAGATGGTCTCCTGCCGTAGAACAGAAATAGATGAACAATCAATGTCTTCACCGTTCACATTCCGAAGAGCTTTATCATTGTCGCGGCCACCATGTGGCAGCAGCGGTCAGTAGTGTCGTACACGCGTCGGGTCGCGCCGCTACTGTGTAGACTGTCTATGTGCTCAGATTCAAAATCATCAGTTCTCTAATTCATCTTGTTGCAGAACGGCAAGTCATGTTCCCTCCTGACAACATGGAATACCCGGCGGGGCGTACTGGAGGTCGATACACGCCAGACCTTCAGCCCGGCTACACAACCCATGCCTACCCGTAAGCATTGTTACTTACTAAGCTCTCTTGGTTAAAAGAAGGTCGCGTCGGCGCTGCTCGCGTGGTGTGTATTTTGCGCGCGATCGTGGGAACGATCCGGATGCAGCGAGCGCAGCGGCAAACGTTCGTCGTATCGTATCGCCACAAAAAGCTTTTATGGCACTCTGAGTGAACAGGTGTGAAATGGCATGTGGTGTGGTGCTCAATCTTTCATTTGCGTCTCAGACGTGATGTCAATCTTAGTGAGCATGCTTCGCCTCCGGACGGCAGTTGTTGTTGCGGGGGTTCACATCAACTGCTTGACAGAAAAACAGGGCAAAATCTCAAAATACAAATCAAAATCAAAATTAAAATGCAATTTTGTTACTAAATCGAAAGACACTGTGAGCGTCCAACTACAGGTCTTATGCTTGTTGGTGTTGTTATTGTTTTTGTTGGTGTTGTTGTTGTTGTTGTTGGTGTTGGTGTTGGTGTTGTTGTTGTTGTCGTTGATGATGTCGTTTTATGTAATGTAGATAAGGGCATATTACTGTCACTGTTGGACATGCATTTGGCTATTAACTGCCAGCCACTTGGGTCCTTCAGTCGTGACAACTTTAGCCATGGCAATTTTAATTTTTAAAATTTTTTAAATTTTTGGCATTTAAATTTTTATTAATCAAAATTCGGCTTTAATTAAAGATAAATTATTGGGACCCAGTAGACCATTATCACCTGGATATGGTCATCTGTTTGCAAGCTTTAGCCACTCGTACACACCTCGACAAACAATGTGTTCATTTGGGAATAATTGGAGTGATAAACGTCAATGAGCAGTAATCGTGGGCAGTAATGACACAGTTCAGGGCTGTTCTCCACTAATACGATACTGTCAGGAGTCTATCAATATTGATAGACTCCTGATACTGTGTATAATTCACACATCCGTCTTTCTCTCCTTCGTTGAATAACTGCGTCCGGCAGAGTAAAGTAGTTGATGAACCATAGCTATAACGCAGCTGGCTTCTGCATTTAATTAACAAATTTCCTCGTCGTCGAAAGTAAAATTCCATCGAATATGAATCCATAAAAACGTCTTCCTAACCTTTGCCACGGCGACGTCGTCTCGGATGCTGCCAGGTGTTTTTTTATCTTGGGCATATCGACGATTTGCATTAATTAATTAATTGATGTTAATTGGCGCGCGATGTTGTCTCTGTGCGTGATTGATGGCACCCACTAACTGCGGCGACTAACAGCAGCAATTGTAATGACGGTCACGCCCGATCTTCAAAAATGATTCAGAATATATTACTTTTCAACAATTTATTTCGCCTTATTTAAAAAAATTATTGGTTTCCACCGAACCTTTTGTCATCGTTTGTTCACCCAAAAAATATCGGTTTATATAGATCTGTCCATTATCAGTTTGTGCCCTATTTTTAATAGTTATAGGTTGTTACTTGACCTTCATAGTTATAGAGCCGTTGCCCTGATGTCCGCGTTATGAGAGGCTGTGTGAGAATCGCAACTGATGATGTCACACACGCATCATTGCAGGGTGTCGCGAAACCCGGACCCGCCGTCGTCGCGGCCAACACAAGAGCAGTCGTCGGTCGACAGCTCGGACGCGAAGCCGCCGATAGAGAGCAGTGACGCCGACTCGTTTCACACGGACCACGGCGAGAGCGACGTGGTGCGCTTTAACGAGGACGGATCGTTCGTCGGCCAGTACCAGCCGAAGAAGCGGCGGGCTCCGCCGGCCGTGCCCTCCGACTCCGCCGGTGGCGCCGCCGCGGGTGGCGGTGATGAAGCCACGCAGCAGTCGTTCGACACGTTTGTGTAGTCGCCACCGCCGCCGCCGTGTCTCGTGATGCAGACCACCGGTCAGCCACGCTCGGACGTCGGTCGCCGTCGGTCAGCGGTGCAAGAGTTGCCCCGCCGTCCGGGGTTGCTGAGACACCTTACACCAGACTCGCCCGTGCGTGCGTGAGTGCGCGTGGTGGTGGTGGGGTGGGGGGGGGTGTCTTGACCTGTGGTCTGATGGTAACTCGGTGTCGATAGCTGTTGTGGGCAAGTGGTGGTGGTGGCAGTGGTCGTAACAATTATTCACTTGTGCTGGAATCTAGACTAGCTCTACGTGTATGTTGTTAATACTGTCACTTGAACTGGTGTCTTACAGCTCTCTCTCTCCCTCTCGCTCTCTTCCTCTCTCTCTCTCTTCCTCTCCCTCTCTCTCTCTCTTCTTCTCCCTCTCGCTCTCTTCCTCTCCCTCTCGCTCTCTCTCTCTCTCTCTCTCTCTCTCTCTCTCTCTCTCTCTCTCTCTCTCTCTCTCTTCCTCTCTCTCTCTCTCTCTCTCTCTCTCTCTCTCTCTCTCTCTCTCTCTCTCTCTCTCTCTCTCTCTCTCTCTCTCTCTCTCTCTCTCTCTCTGCGATTTGGAGCGCGATGCTGATCGCGATTATTAGTGAGTATTATTGCGTTCACACTTGTAATAATCTCGGTATTTCGATCGCGATGCAAAAACCGGGATTTGCATCCCGCTTATTCGCGCCAGTGTGAACGCGCCTATTGTAACATGTTACATTAATATTTAACGTTGTTCTATGCATTGTAACATTGTTGCATTGTGAAATCGTTGAGCTGTAATATATGTTCATAAGATGACCTCACAATTTAAAAAGACGAAGAGAATAGTGAGAGAAAAAAGTGATAATCGTTTAACCGTCAAGATGGTATACTAACCGTTCAGTGATAATAATCTAAATGCCTATCTGACTTACCAAGCTTAGCAAGCCAATAGCTAGTATGACCCTCATGTCGACACGCAGTTTGCCCGCTCGTTAGCAATTCTCCTTCACATGAAAGTAGAAACGGAGAATAAGATGTCACGCACAGCTCAAAGTAATACAATGAAATAGGTAGGTTTTCATTCCGTAATTATTTCACGCGTAAACCGTAAAATATTACACCTTCGCATAGTGCGCAATTTTTATATAAATCAATCATATGCTGCAACTCTATTATTATTCATTCCTGTATATATATATATATATATATATATATATATATATATTGTGAGTTTGTATAACAAATTCTTTCTACGATGAGTGACAGAATTAGCTTAATCTGTTTGCTGCTTTTCTTTCAACCAATAGTTTACAATTTGTTACATCATGGCGTTTTCAAGACGCTTCATATAACGTATAGCATAACTATGACTGCATAAAGCTCTTATATGAGAATTATAATATGAGCGCATACGCAAGTGTCCAATTTGTAGTCCTATTATCCATAATGTTGTCTTTTTACAAAACAACAATCAACACATTTGACATTGACTAATGTGAGAGGAAGTTGGCTGATTGCAGCCGACACGCAATAATTTTCGATTTTCAACTGCGCGTATACGAATAAAAGCTTACCTGCGCTCTGAGTTCTGACGCTATGTGCTGTGGGGGAGGTGCTCCTGCGAGGCGGTAGAGAAGTGAAAGTTACGCTGACATGACGGTGTCGTCGCGCCTGCACCTGCATATATAGGGACGCCGAGGAGGGCCTTGGCCGAGCTGACCCAATTTGGCTCTTTGCGCTCCTAGTTACCTGTCTGCGGAAGAATGTCCAACGGCGCCCTCCGCCGCAGAGTCTTGAGATTCGCTCGCACGTGTCTGCTCCCGTTTCATTGCCAAGGCCTTCCCGGCTCATGATGGGTGGCTCGCTGATGTTTTGATGGAGAATTTATTTCTTGGTTCTTTGTGTGATATTCGATCGGCAGTGGTTTGGAACTGATGTAAAGGAATAGTAGGTTAAACCTTTTTTGTCGGAGCGTGTTGTTATGCCCTCCTCGTTTTATACTTTCGTACGTTTATGTTCAATGCTTGTCAGAGAAACATCATCTTCAGGTCCTCTAGGTTGGTAGATAAATGCTTTACTGATCGCATAGTCTGATGATAGGATGTAAACTGCATGAGAGCATCTTTACTGAAAAATTCGAGTCTGAAACCGTTCAGAATAATACAAGTATATCTATACAATTACAAATTATAGTCAGATCAATCGATTAGAACGCCTGTTCTTTTTGAGCATACCCATGTTATAGATTGAGGCAGAAGGCCTTTTTAGCTCATCTGACATAGTCAGATGCAGCTTGTAGAATTGCATGATTGTCCGTGCGTGCGTGCGTGCGTCCGTGCGTCCGGCCGTCTGTCAACAGTTGGGCACAAATCTTAACCGCTTGATGTACGGTTGATATAGTCAGATGCAGCTTGTAGAATTGCATGATTGTCCGTGCGTGCGTGCGTGCGTCCGTGCGTCCGGCCGTCTGTCAACAGTTGGGCACCAATCTTAACCGCTCGATGTACGGTTGATATAGTCAGATGCAGCTTGTAGAATTGCATGATTGTCCGTGCGTGCGTGCGTGCGTCCGTGCGTCCGGCCGTCTGTCAACAGTTGGGCACAAATCTTAACCGCTCGATGTACGGTTGATATAGTCAGATGCAGCTTGTAGAATCGCATGAGCGTGCGTTCGTCCGTCCGGCCGTGCGTCTGTGCGGCCGTGCGTCCGTCCGTGCGTCAACAGTTGGGCACAAATCTTAACCGCTCGA